GATCTCTTGATTTCCATTTACTCTAAGACACTCTCCCCTTGTTCTCTCCAGCATGGTAATCAGATGTCTTACATGGCAACTCAAAGCTTCTTTAGCATATACTCGTAGAGGAAAAAGTGGAAATCATTCATCTCTTGAGGCTCAGACCTGCAAGAGGACAGTGCATTCCTTCTGTCATATTCTATTGGTCATAGCAGTTCTAGCACATCTGGAGTCAAAGTGACCAGGGGATCATAGACCTTGTGTTTGGATAGGAGGACTATCAAAGAATTTTTATCCACCTCTAATCTACCACACTATGAAAAAATTTTGTATAGCACCATTTGTTGCTCATGAGCTGTGTTTTTCAACATATGAGATATGATACAAATATGCACTGACTTTAAATTTTAAAATATGTATTACAGTAAAAGACACATTTCCATTAATTCCCCTCAGAATACTCTCCTTTACTTGAAGCACATATATTCCATCATTCTTGCTACTTTATGAAGCAGTTCCACAAATCTTCTTTCATGGGGATCTTTATAAGTTGTGATAAAAGTTACAGTAAATGCTGCTGCTGAGTGTCATCCAGTGGAAAAGCAGGCTTGTAAAAACATTACAGCACATCTTCTACCTTATTCACCAAATCTGGCACCGTGCAACTTGTGGCTCTTCCCAAAGTCAGAGTGACTGAGAAGGGTAAATGTTTTGAATTGATTCAGGACATCAAGGCTGCCATGACAGCACAACTAAAGACATAAAAGTTTTCCAGAACTGCTTCAGAAAGTAGCAGAATCATGGGGTAGATATGTTTGAGTGAGGAAATATTTTGAGGAGAATTAATGACACTGTGTCTTTTACTGTAATATTTTTAATTTTTATCATTCATATTTTTATCACATGTCATACCTGTGTGATTTTTATGCCTACAATTAAAATAATCGATAAAAATGATTGTCATAATGCATTGAGTGACAGTATAATGGTTAAGAGCATTAGAATTTGAATCCTAGTTCTGCCTTTTAGTGGCTGCGTAAACTTGAACAAGTAACTAAACCCCTCTGAGCCCTAGTTTCTTCATCTATAAAATGATGAAGGATAACGATAATACTCCCCCTCAGTTATATTAGAATGAGATCATATAAAATCCTTAGCACAGTACCTAACACATTGTAAGCTTTCAACAAACAATTTTGGTGGTGATAATATTGATGATTCAGCATTTTAGCTCTGCGTGGCTGTTTCCAAACTAGAGTATGAAGTCAAATCCAATACCTGGCACAAGGCCTGGCATTAAAATATTGAGCAAATGGGCATTCAGACAACTGTATAGCAGCACAAAAATGATATTTGTCTTCACTGAAATTCTTTGATTTGGATGTATACAGAAGATAGAGGATAACATTGCTAGGTTGTGTAAGTTGCTAAGTTGCAGGAAGGCTCAAGACTACACTGAAATAATTGAAATCGTATGGTAGAGCTGTAGCACTGAGGAACAGCCTAGCCTGACTAACAGGCAGCATTTGCAGCATTTCAAATAGGCTGGGACTTTGGGAAGTGCATGAATCAGAAGAGGAAATACAAACCAATTAATATGGTTTGCCCAGAAATGGCCATGCCAAGAGTGAAGAAGGATGTGGGGAAAGGGTGCTAAAAGAAAAGATACAATATTAAATGCAAAACTGAACAGGGTATTTATTGTGAAAAAGCCTGGAAGAATGCCTTGACCTTTTCCATGGCACCTTTGCATGATTTCAAATCTCCTTCAGACGGTTGAATTCATAACGTTAAGTGGCAATAGTATGTTCCTGTTGGCTGTATACCTCAAGCCAGGTCAGATGCCAGCAAAAAGGAGAGAATTTCCCAGTGTGTTTTAGATTGCACTTTGATTATTTCGGTTCTGCAGTACTTGTATAAGGTCCATCATTTCAGTTCTTTTTCATTGGCATTGAAAATCCACTTTAGCATTTAATGGTTTAAGATAAACCAAGGAGCCTTTGAAATGTCATGTACAACCTGCCCTCTAGCAAGCATTGCTGGGCAGAGTAGTTTATGGAACTCTTGGCATATTGAACAAAAGGAAGAAGGGGAGTTTATCTACTCTGGCTTTAGCCATATGTCATGAGTACATTTGCTTTTAAATGAATTTATAGAATATTAATGTAATCACCAAACAGCAGAGTGGTGAATGCATCAGTCAGAAGTTAAATTTATCTTATATATTTGCTCATGTTTGCCTCTATGTATTAGAAGACAGAACTGGGAGACAGGCATTTCCTTCTCAGTGGAAGTGGCAGAACTTGTATAATGAAGTGATATTTCTGCAATCTGTAGTAAGGTAGAGTTGTGAGTGAAAGAGCTATATGAATAACAATGAGGCAGACAGAACAATAAAAAGACAAACATTTCATAGGAGGGGAAAATAGATGGGCTTGTTTGACACGTAATCTAATCTGATCTTTTCCTAACAAAAACTAATAGTTTGTAAATGGATGAGATAATGTTAACAGTTTCTCCAAGATCTTCTGCATAAGGAATGTGATTTTTCCAAAGACATAAATGGTCTTATTATATAGCATAGGAAGACAGGTACCAGGGGCCTTAAATTCTCTAAGACCAAAAGGGAACTAGACACCCCCCCACTCCCTGCCTAGAGCCTGACATATAGGAAGCCAATCACAAATGTTTGTGTTATGCCAGAATGAATGTCTGAACCAGTGAATTTATCAATGTAATTGCACATCTTGAGTGGAAGAAAGAAAACTTAGCATTCAGGACTGCCTATCATGCCAGAGGTCTTCATATCTGTTCTGTCTTTTCATCCTTTAAGGTAAATCTTATTTGTCCCCACTTCAACTAAAAAGGAAATAGAAACAGAGATATTAAGAAACTTGTGTCAGGATCACATAACTATATGGAGGAGAATAGAGATATGAAAGCTACAGGAGGGGTATGTGTGTGTGAGTGTACATGTGTGTGTGTACGTATGCATGTACGTGTACATGCATGATGAGTGAGATGACATATGAGTGCTAAACTTACATGTTTTCATTTTAAAAATTCCTCTTGGGAGAATTTTTTTTCTCCTAAAACTTTTGAAGGTCAAGACAGGCTAAGACAGAGCTTTTGAAGGTCTGTCTCAGGCTGACAAGCATGTGAGAGAATCACAGATGCCCTAGCTTGCTTGGGCTGGGTGTGTAACAGGAGATGCCCATGTGCCACCCACCTGTCCATCTGCCTAGGCACAGGACTCCCTCTTACTAGGCCTGCTAGACCTGAAGCTCTGCTTTTGCGGGAACCACAAGTTCTTCCTGCTGTTTAGGCCCACGTCCTCTAGCGTCTTGGAAGAACTTCACAGGGACTTCAGGATTTCCTTGATGACATCCTGACAAGCATTCCCCCTCTGATCTTTGTGGTGAGCATGGTGAAGTTTTGGGGAATAAAGCCTGCTACTACTACTGCAACTGCCCCCACATTACCAGAACTTTTTATGCAATATTTTCTGTGTTTACAGTACATTGCATATGGTTCTATAATAAGGACAGGTTTGAGAGGTAGGGAAAACAAAGTGCACTCCCTTCTCTCAAAGAAATTGCATTTTTATATAGAAATGAAATTTAAACAGTGAAATCAGTACTGACCTTAGACCCAGGCAAGTGAGGCCCTTGCCCTGGGACCATACCTTAAGGGGACTCATGCTTTAGAAAACCTACCTTGATATGTTCTAAGTCCTTCTGCAGTGCTGACTGGTCAGCATGGTTAGTCTCATCAGGGTAAATGCACTGATTCCAGAGCACATCCTACCTGTGTTTCAACCACAAGAATCCCTTTTTCTGAAATTTTCTATTTCCTGAAGTTTTCTAAGATTTCCTCCTGAGGAGGTTAGCTGTTTCATCTGGACGAGGAGCTACAATCTCAAACTAGACCCTCGTGGACTTGGGTATCCATTTCTCCCCTTTGTGACATTTACCAGTCCTCTACCCCACATACGGAATCAACTGGATGCCCCAAGAAGCTTCAGGATGCATGCCTTTGGAATCCTCCCAGAGTCTTGGTTCCAGGAGAATGGCCTGACAAGTAAATCACTCCAGCTGGATGAAGTGATTTTTTTAATGGTATCATGTGAGACTGTGCCACCAGAGTGCAGTTGATGCTGATTGGGGTTGAATCAAATTGTGTACAGAGAGAAGCCCCCTCAAAAACTGGGCACTGTCACACCTTCTTAAGGCATCCCTGAATGAAACAAAATGCCAAATAAAGTAAAATAAAATTCAGTAGCAACAGATATAGAAAAGTTTTTAGACAAAGAGTTAAAAATGTACCAGAATTGTCTGCAAAAGCATTTCAAGGAGAGTGAGATTTAAACTAGACCTTGAAGAATGGGAAAGTTTCAGGGAGGCTCAAATGATTCTAGGCAGGGAGAAAAATATGAACAAAGGCACAGAGAGTAGTTAATTACTGAGGCTTTTTGTGTTGTGCATTGTGCTATACACATTACATTCATCATTTTAATTATTCCTCCCAGCTCTCTGTCAGGTAGGACTTATGAACCCTATTTTACCGCTGAGAAAATGGAAGTTCATGTTGCTAGCAAATGGTAGAAATAGAACCCAAGTCTGCTTGATATGTGTGCTTTTAACACCGTGCTGTACTGTTTACAGAACATATGGACAAGGGATAGTGGTTGGAATTGAGCTGAGGGCGTGTGTTGGAAACTAAAGGAAGCAAGATCACTAGACAAAGTGCAGTCATATTATAAAGGATGTTGAATATCAAAATGAGATGTAGAAACTTACATAGGCCCCAGTCAAAAAGAAAAGAAAAACCAGCCCTATTCAAAGGGAAATACACAGCTGTAATATAATATTTAAGACCTGAGAATACTAAGCACCATGTTTTTTTAAAAATATTTTGCTTTAGAAAGACCCTTGCTTTGAAACTTATAAGATGACATTTTGTCTCAACTTGACCTTGCCCGGTATCATTTACTGATCTCTCTTTCCTCTCCTTTTTAGACTTTGATCCTGCTCTTGGAATGATGACTGGAATTCCGCCAATAACTCCAATGATGCCTGGTTTGGGAATAGTGCCTCCACCAATTCCTCCAGATATGCCAGTAGTAAAAGAGATCATACACTGCAAAAGCTGCACACTCTTCCCTCCCAACCCAAGTACTGTTCTGCTTTTTTCCCGTATAAGTCACAATGTCTTGGTGTATAAGAAAGCCTTCATCGGATTTAAAACAATACCTAGGGGCTTCATAGATGTATGTGCGGAAGCTTCACCTAGAAAACAAGATAAAATTGTTTCTCATTTCATGCAGAGAACACTGGTTTTCTGTGCTGGTTGCAATACAAGTAAAACAACATGTTTTTAATGCCGTCTGGTGGGGAATTCAAGTGTGTTAGTTGAGAAGAAGGCACCCAGTACAAAGTGCTCCGCGCTGTCATTTGTAGTGTTCTCATAAGTGGCCCACATGCTGGGGATGGCAGAGCTTGACCATGGTCTGAGCCTACCTGAGGTACACGATAATCTGTATTTGGTGCTAGGAATTTTCCACTGCTACCAGCTAGTCACACATCATTCCTGCTGTTTCAACGGATGAGCAGCAATACAGAGTGAGGTATAGTTCAACTTGTGGGGAGGGCAAAGAGCAATGTTACGGCTAAGCCAAACTACTTGTAGCCATCCAGTCAAAACAATTCACATGAAAACAGTCTAGGCATCTGTCTTGTCTTATTGGTTCTATATTCTTTAGGATTATAGGCTTCTCCTTAAACTCACTTGAAAATATCAGTGAAGATAGGGATATTGAAGTTTAAATGCACCACCAATAAAATGGACTCAAAATTTCTTCAGATCCATTTTGAGTTTCAAATCCTTTAGATGATTATGAGCTGCTTCCGCATATGACTTAAGCCTCAGTAATGTTTTTTCCATAGTCCTGGTGGTGCTAGGTGACATGCTGAGGGAGCTCCTGCTGTGGTATAAAGAGACCTATTCACATGAATAAACCTTATCAAAATAAACATGAACCTTGACATGTGACTACCAACAGTTAAGCATGATTTAGACCCCAGCAGAGACCCAAATTCTGTAGTACTTGGTGTGATCTGCTTGTAACTGAGAAGGTTTCAGAATCATCCAGGATTAGACATATCCTCTTGGACACTTTTGCTAGTGCAAACTGATCTTAATGCCTTCTAGTTTTTTAACTTGATTTTCCTTTTTTTTTTTAAACTTGGTTTTCAACAGGGTACATCCTTCCAGACCAATAAGAAATCTAGGAGGCCTACATCTCATAAAACTGTATTTGAAGAAGAGCTGGCATATCAGAAAGAGAGTTAGGGACCTGAGAATAAAATGTCCTTTGTAGGCCTTACTTGCCAGTTCAAATGGCCATTCCTAGATTTTTGTTTAGTGCTTCAGTGAATGGGAAGTGCTGTTATATCTTTGTCTCTTACACTTAGTTCCATTGTCCCTACAAATGTACAATGTCCTTTGCCTTCTTTGCTTCCATTTTGTTGCTTTTGGATTGGAGAAATCTCTCTATTCTTGATAGTACCCTTTTCATGTCAAAAGCCATAAATTTAGGCCTTGAAAGTGTTAAAACCTCTTTATGAAAAAGTAAAATCGTGTTGATTTAATTATCTACAGATGGTATACTAAGCCTGCACTAGGCTTACACTACCTCAGTCAAGTCTAAGCTAATGGGATGGCTGAAAACCTAAAATGTCCAGATCAAGGGCAGTAAATGACTTTAGGAATGTTAAATTTCTAAATTTCCAAAGAATAGCACAGATTCCTTGTTTATAACTCACAGACTGCATTGTTGAGCAGTCTGTGAATGCATGTCAAAATACGTGGCTAAAAGAGGTTGTAACTTCATAATATCTATTAAAAGAAATAGAAATCTTGCAAATATATGACCCATCTTTTTCCATCTGAAGCCACGCCTTCTCAGTTCTGAGTTGGAAGTGCTGCAGAGTGAGAGGGAATCACTAGACACTCACAGCTCGATCTGCAATTCTTTAATCTTTGGACCAAGAATGCTGAAAGAGCAATTAGTGCCAGTAAGGGTGTGTGGCTTCTGGGAAGGAAGCTGGCTTTAGAATTGAATTCAAAAATAATACTACTAACAAAGGTTAAAATACACTGGTGTTCTGTTTGCTTTATTAGAATTCAAATTTGAGGAAAAGGGGTCTTGTTATTAATTGGGTAGAAAAAAACACTAACTGAGGTACCTCCCTTAGTTCTTTACTGAAAAAAGGCATGGCAAAGTGCCATTATTGCTAACAGTGACAAGGCTTGTCTTTGTGAAGGTAAGACCAGAATATCGGTAGAAGACATAACAGGGGAGTTGGTATGATTGAACCCCTTATGTACTCCTGCCCCCCCAATAATGCCTTGATTATAACTCCACTGCTTTCTCTGGCCTGCCTCTGGTATATTCTGTTACACCCACTGACCTCTGACTCCAAAGTTCCTCTCAGCAATGATGAGGTCTGCTGATTCAGAGACCCTCACAGTATCTTTATTCACCACCTAGTCTGCTTCCAACTCTTGTTGCTTATTAGAAAGTAACTTTTCCATCAGTTCCTTCCCTTCTGTTCTACCTGACAGTTCATCCAGATGCTTGTCACATATACAGAGCCATAAAATTGTCCTGGGGCTCTCATCGCCCACAAATTCATAGTCTCACTCCTGACCTCAAATTGCACTGCTTTGTGACTTTTTTTAATCTATCATTTCTACTTGCCGCATACCCACCCTTTAGTCAGGTTCAGTTGCTTTCTGACCTCACACTCCTTCCACTCCCCTCCAGCCAACCTCTGAGCACACATTCTACTAGCATGCTTCTGCCTGGAAGGCAATGCAATTAAATCTGTGGTGAATCATTCTAACGCACTTTCACTTAAAGAGTGGGCACTAGACCCAATATATATTTTTTATGTTCTTAAATTACTTTATATCTCTGCTTTATTTAGTACTATTGACCCCTTTGTCCTTCTTGAAACTGTAAGTCATTTGAAGGTGAAAGAATGACTTGTAGCCACCCAGACAGATTACATAAATCAAAAGGAAAGACCACACTCTCAGGAATCCCAACATTTCAAACTTTAAAAAGAAAAAGAGGAGTTTACATTTTGGTACATTCCTTAGCAGCAAAAGTCCCCCAAAAGATTGTATAGCTATTGCTAGTTCTTTTCATCTTCTATTTTACCTCCTCTTCTCTGATGTTATTGTTCCTATGTCTCTATCAACATGTCCCTTGTTTAAGAATATTAATGAACTTACAATGCTAAAACCAGTGGTCGGTTCTCAGTTCTCTTTCTAGTTGATCTAATAACAATATATGACACCATTGATTACTTTTTACTCCTTGTTATACTTTCTTCATCTGGCTTCCAGGACACTATACTATTAGTTTTCTCCCCACCATACTGGTTGTTCTTTCTCAGTCACCTTTGTTGACAACCTCTGGTCTTCCCTGACATATTATTGCCAAGTCATGTGATTCGGTCCTTGAACCTTTTTTTTGTTTAATCTACAATCATGCTTTTTATAATCTAATCTAATCTTGTAGTTTAAAAACTATTCATGAATGATGCCCAAATTTATTCTTTGAGTTTAGACCTAGCCTCTGAGCCCCAAATTCATATACAACTTCCTACTAGCTATCTCCATTTGAAAATCAAATAGATATCTCAAACTTAACATGTTCCAAATTAAACTTCTAGATTTGCCCCCAAGCCTGTTCCACTAGTAGTTTCCCCAATGCAGATAGTAGAAACTGCATTCTTTCATTCGCTCAGGACAAAGTTAGACATTATCCTTACCTCCTTTCCTTTCCTCACATACCACATTTCATGTTAGAAAATTCTGTCTGTCTTGAATTATATAGAGGAAATGCTACTATTTTCATAATAATCACTGCTATGATCCAATTTATATCCATTATGATTCATTTTCTGAACTATTGCAGTAGCCTTCCAGTTGGGTTTCCTCTCTCACCTTCCCCCCAACCCAGAGTCTATTCTTAATAGAATAGGCAGAATGATCCTTTTAAAGCTAAGTCAGATTATGTCCCTCCTCTACTAAAAACCTTTCAATGGCTCTCCAATTTACTCACAATAAAAGCTAAATCCTTTTAAAAGCATAGGAGGTCCTATATGGTCTGTTCTCCTCCACATTATCTTTTTTACTTTCTTTCCTGCTCTCCTCTGTATTGCTCACTGTTCTCATCACAATGACCTCCATCCACACTGTTTTTTGAAAATACCAGAACACACCAGATATTCTTGCATCACACAGCCTTTGCACTGGCTCTTTACTCTGCCCAGAAAACCTTTTCCCCAAATAGCTATATAGTTGACTCTCTCAGTTTCTTCATATCTTTACTAGATGTCATTTTCTCAGTGGTTCTGATAATCTCCTTAAAAGTGCAGCTTTCCCTACCATATGCCCTGTGCTACTTACCATCACTATTTTTATATAACACATTATATTTTTAACAGCCTATGCAATTTATAGAATAGAAACTCTAAAAAGACTAGAATTTTTGTCTGTCCTATTCATTAAAATTTCCCCAGAACTTAGAAAAGTATCTGGCATATAATAGCTATTCAATAAATGTTTGTTGAAGGGTGAATGGAAGGACAGGTGGGTGGACGGATGGATGCATGGTGAAAGAAGAAGCAGTCAGAGCTCTGAAAAGCAAACCAAGAGAATAGAGGGTAATTGCTATTACCTGCAGATGACTTTCAAATCTATATTTTCGGTCTGTATCTCTCTTCTGAGCTTCAGGTACATGTAGCCAACTACCCACCAGAGTTGTCTCAGTTAATCTGATTCATTAGATGTTTTAAACATCAGATGTTTAAAAAAATGATATTAAAGTATAGTATATTCTACTCCCAGCTCTGTCACTAGTGAGCTCTGGGATCTGGTCCAGTCATATAATGTTCTTGGGTCTGATTTCCTTATCTAGAAAGCAAAGATAATTGGATTAGACTAGCCTAGATAGCTCCAAGACTTCATCCAGCTCTAAAATTATGATTGTACACATAAAAATGTAGCTATCACTATAATTTGTTTGCCTAGGCAAAGCCCATTAGAATGTATTAGGCAAAACAAGAGCAACTCGATTGATAGCATAAAGAACTTTTTGCCTTCACTAGAACACGCAGCGTAGCATAACAAAATACTCGCGATCCAAAGTAGCATGGGCCTAGTTTCATAGCCCAGCTGTCCATCACTAAATACCCATGACATCTTTGGTGAGTGACTTAACCTCTCTGATCTAGACTAGGCAAAATGAGACACAGTCTAAGTAATCAGTGGCTCATACTAGGCTAGAGCAAACCAAGTACAAGTCTCCTATAGATAAGTGGTAAGTATCCCATTGTCCTGGAAGCAACATCCTCTGAAACCCAGGATTTACAGATGTAGCAAACAGCAACATCAAACCCACTCTGGAATACACTTTTTGTTCTCATAGTGGGTGGCTATCAGAGCTTTACTGATTTTCCAATTAGCAGTTCCTGTGGTGAGAGAAGAGGGCAGCACCATCTGTAGAGAGTAGTCAATTTGCCAGGGTTTTTCACTTCAGCTGGTAGACCTTCTGTATGGGGAAGGTACGTTTTGATTCTAGTAGAAATGACAGTGAATGAGGAATAAATGATGGACTGTCATCTGCTCTCTATGTCCAGGCACATGGGGAAACTCAGGAACCAGAAAAGGGGCAATTTTTTTCATTTTACTATATCAAAACAGTTTGGACCCCATTTTGGTTCTCAGGGTTGGACTTTACTAAGAGAATTAGACAAAGCAAGTGAATTGAACATTAATAGCAGTTTGCCAACCTTCTGATTATTTCAAATAAAGTAGAATTACATTAAAATGCATATAACCCCTGCTGATTATCTAGGGGGCATTTAATCTTAGGTTGACTAATAAAATCAACTCAAAGACTTTGCATTATATAAATTCTAGGAAACCAGTGGAGAAATCTATGATGCGTTTTGGCAAAGGAAGATTCATGTAGCTAATTGGTCCTCTATGCCGCTTCTTCCTTCACTTTACAAAGACAAAAAATGACTATGACCCTAATGCTGATTGTCCCAACATAGCTCCCCACAATAGATGTTTGGATGTAACTAGAATCATGAGAAGCACCTCCTTTTCCATTACCAGAGATTAGTTCTTTATACTCCCAGTTGTCTTGAATCTGTTCACATGGCAATTTTCTTGGTCTCCAACCTGAGTAGTGATTGAAGCTCTACAGAGCTTGGCACATTAGCTGATGAATAGGTGGAGTTTGAATCTGATCTCCTGTGGGGTTATCGTTGCTGTGCTCTGATCACTGTATTTCAGTGGGATTAGAAAATCAGGCCCAGACAACTAAGTGCCTTGAGCTGTTAATTAAGGAATGGGTGCTGTCCATTAAGAAAGATAGTAAAGCCCATTGACTTGCTTAGTGGCATACACCTAAATCTTCACAAATGCTATCAAAGAGGCTTTCTACATTTACCCAAGGAAAATAAATAAATCGCAGGCACTCTTGACATTACTTAGTGGATTTTATGCCCTTTTACTTAGCACACCCTCACCACAGAAGAATCACAATGTGTAAAGATGGTGATGACTTCATCACAGAAGTTTTAAACCCCACCGATGTAGTCAGGGGAAGGAACCTTTTCATTTTCAGTGTTTGTATGTAACTGCAGCAGTCACCGCACATTCCTTAGAGCCTCTCAGTGCACCTAAAGGTAGACCCAGCTAAATCAAAACAATATAAATGTAAATGTCAAAAGCTCTTTATTCTAAATCAGCACTTCATTCTAAAACCTTTGATTTGAAAACATTTCTAACTGTACAGATGCTCTTGAAAATTATGTGTGTACACAATGGCTGGATTGTGTTCCATGGTCAAAGCCATACGTGTCTTCACAGGTGTAGAGTCCTCTATGCATGTGAGTGACTCCTCAAATTCAGCCTTGTCTAAGGATTTGGGTAAAGCAAAGGAATTTAGAAATCCAGGTCTTAGCTACCACTCCACTTCAGCTATGTGGTAAGCCTATAGACAGCCCCAGATTTGGAATATAGGAAACCTGGGTCTGTAATACAAAATAATAATGCTATAATGACTACTACTTATTGGGAACCTACCAAGTGCTAGGTATTTCACTAAGTGCAATATAAATACTATAATATTGATATCCTATGATAATTTTCATAAAGTAGAGAATATTATCCCTATTCTAGAGATGAAAATAGATTTTCAGAGATTATGTGATTTCAACATCTTACAAATAGTATTTAAGACTTAAATCTACATTTACCTGCTCCAAGTTCATATTCTTTTTTTCTATCTAATGTGGTATTCTCAAATGAGACACACCTTCATTCAGCCAAGGTTTTTCCTCTGCAATATCAGAGGACTAGACTTAAGTCAGTGGTTTTCAGCCGTAGAGACATATTAGAACTTCCTGAAAAGCGTAACCAATACCAATTAGAAAACGAAACTAATACAAAGCTTGCACCCAGAACTTATCAAGACATGGGCTTAGGTATTGTTTATTTAACCCTCAAGTAGATTCTAATCCACTATCAACAATTAAGAATAGTTGAAAAATGTGATGGAGAGAATTCTTCCAGGTCTTAAAAACCCAAAAGCATAAGTTTCAAGCAACTCTGGATCTCATTGTCCCCCCTTTTGGCAAAACTACAACCTCGATGGCTATGAATAAGACATTTCTGATTCCTACTCACTAGATTACTTTTTCTAGTGTCTAAACCGCTCTTATGAAAAAAAATAATGAGCTCTTGAAATTACAGAACTTACAAAATTAACAAAGTTTTTAATTTCCCTGAATCCTATTACCCTCTTTATGAACTAAATAGAGCGAAAGTGGGTATCATGAGAAACTAACTACAATATTCTTAGCCACACCAATAGGACAGACAGCTATAGCAAAGCAAAAAAGCTAGTGTTTCTGATACCCAAGTAAGCTCCCAAACAACTGCTTGCCAGCTTGTATAAGAGTCAGATGAGGGCCTTGGACTAATCTGCTAGTGAGATGATTCATTTTTTTCATGTGAGCTCTAATCACTGATTGTTGAACTTTCCAGATCTCAAGCTGGGAGAATTGTTGTTAAGAGTCAAATGGAAAGAACAGATTACGCAAGATAAATCCTTGCAGATACAAGACCAACAGTAGAAAACATCATGACCATCATGCTTTGTTTTGTTAAACTGTGAACTGTAGGATTTTGCTTAGAAAATGCTTTAATACATATAAATAGTAACAAGGTGCTGGCAGATACAACAGGCTTTATGTATGATTGAATAGAAAACAGATTCTTTATTCATTAAGTTTATTGGTACATTTTAGGTATACAATATGATGACATTCATCATTGGGAATTTGTATTCATACATAACATAACTTGGTTCTTATCTTTTCCCCATTCCCCTGCCCTCCCTTCCACCCCTCCCCCCATTGACAAAGACACTGTTTCCATTTTTTCCTTTTCTCATATTTTTCCTTTCCCTTCTTTCCTTTCCCCTACCCGCTGCCACTTCGCCTTCTCCTTTGTAGAAAACATATTTTTAAGCAGAGGGAGAACCATCTCATTAAATAGGTTTTAAATGACTCTCTGTGGCCAAATTTATCTCATTTTACTTAATGATTTCCCAGATGAGCTTAATCTTTCTGCTGTCTTTCATATTTCCCTCTAAATGCTGCAAGATTGGCTCTTGGCCATACCTCTCAAGCCAAGGAATTGGAGGAAGAGCTCACTGGTATAAAAAAAACTAAAGATTTAAAAGGGATACTCTGTACTCTCACTAATTTGTTTAACTCAATCATCCTAATGGCTGTAAATATTTTGTAAATATTCACCCCATCATCAAATTAATCCTGAGACACTTCTTTCAGTAAGCATAAACAGAGAATATAGTAATTACAATCTGAATTAAACAAATCCTTTCTCAGAGACCCAGGTTCTGAGAAATGAAAGTAAGAATGTAAGGTGAGTGGGATTTTCCCCATATTTTTAATAAAAATGACTTAAAATTTGGCATGGCTGGATTATCACAACAAAAATAAGAAACAAAATTAAAAATCTTTGGATGGGACAGACATCACACAGGCTTGGGTGTTTGTCCTCTAGACTCAGCAGTCAGCAAACTATTGAATGAAATAATTTTCACGTTCATCCAGTCAGTTTGCTGTGAGGTAGAGATGAGCATTTTGAAGGCCACATACTTCTGAGATCACTCAGGCAAATGTTTCTTGGGGACAGTACTGCTATTGCTGAGAAATGTTAGGTATCAAAGAGGTTTGTCCCAAACAAACATTTTATTTTTGAAAACTTTATTAAGTAAAAGATGCATTGCCATTAATCCCCCTCACTTTTAACATATTTAATCATTCTTGTCATTTTCTGAAGAAATTCTGGAAGCCCTATTTCCTGAGTTTCTTTAGTTGTGCTGTTGTGCTTGTCTCTGTATCCTGAATAGATTTGAAACATTTTTTAAGGTGCTTTTGCTCTTTCACTTAGATCTCCCACCTCCTGCAACCCGAGAAAGACCACCAGGATGCAAAACGGTATTTGTGGGCGGTCTGCCTGAAAATGGGACAGAGCAGATCATTGTGGAAGTGTTCGAACAGTGTGGTGAGATCATTGCTATCCGGAAGAGCAAAAAGAACTTCTGTCACATTCGCTTTGCTGAGGAGTACATGGTGGACAAAGCCCTTTATCTATCTGGTAGGTGTTTAGGTGTGGGAATTGTGCCCACCTGGCAAAATGGAGAAATTGAGGATCTGAGTATTTGATCTGCAGCAGATACAGTGTAGGCTTAACATTACCCCTTTTTGCCTTCAGAGTTGAAAACATCATGTTACCTCTGATATCCATCCTTTAAAGTTCCTCAGTTGCTCCTAATCTCTATAGGATAACTCAAGGTTCTAAACATGTAATATCTAAAAGCCTTGATTATCTTCTGTGCTTCTCAGCATTATCTCAATTCTTTCTGCACACACCATGTACCAACCACACTAAAGAAATTTTAGTTCCCAGAATGTGCCATGGTGTTTCATGCTTTTCCCTCTGACTGGAATTAATTTTCCCATCCCCACCTACCACACACAAATCTCACAGGTATATCCAACCTGTGGCCCATAGGTTGCCCTGGGCTTCAATGAGTGAAGAAGAAATGTCTTGGGCTGCATATAAAATATATATTATAGTTAGTGTATACAAGTGACAAAACTTTCTTCACTTTTATACTTGTTATTGTAACAGAGGCATATCCAAACTGCAAGTCGGACACCGTATACTTATTCTGAAGCTCAAACACAAGGTCCCCTGGGAAATTTTCTGACTTATCTGTCCCCTCTATCTCAAGTTGATTTAGGCACCCTTCCTGAGTGCCTCCATGGCATCTGGCACTTCCTCCTGACATGACACCTGTCACGCCATGTTAGAACTGACTCTTTCCTCACCCAGAGTATGAACTCCTTCAGGGCAAGGACTGGGGCTTATTTAACATTGAGTCCCCAGTACCTAGCACATGACCTAACACAAAAGTTAGATATTCAAAAAAATAGTTACCAAAGTATTTTACTTTATTTTCTGCTGTGCGAATAAAATACCTGAGCCTAAGTAGATAAAGAAAGGGATTTTTTTTTTGTCTCCATTTCTGGAAACTGAGAAGTCCAAGGGCGTGACACTGGCATATGTACAGCTGATAAGGGCCTTCTTGCTGAACTATAACATGGCAGAGGGCATCAGATGGTGAGATAGAGCAAGTGTGCTAGCTTGGGACTCTCTTCCCCATCTTATAAGGGCACTGATGCCATTATGAGAAACTCATACCATGACTTCATCTAATCCTAATTACATCCCAAAGGCCCCACCCCAAATACCATTAAAACATGAATTTGGGGATTAAGTGTCAAACAGATGAACTTTTGGGAGACACATTCAAACTATAGCCATAAGTCAGTTATCAAACATTTATTAATGGCTAGGCAGAATGCTAGGTTACTGGAGATACAGCAAAGACAGAGATAGATTTCCTGTCATTGAGGATGTTACATTCTGGTAATAGTAAAATGTGATACAAATAAAGAAGTTAACATCAGGTACCGATAAGTGCTGTGAAGAAGATAAATAGGATAATGTACCTGGAAGCATTAGGAAAGGAACTTTTCTCTGACATTTGAACCAAGACCTGAACAGTGGGATAGGAGATTGCCATGTAAACATCTTGGGAATATCTCATTCCAAAATAAGGAACAGCCAACCAAAGGCCCTGACATGAAAATGAACTTAGCATATTCAAGCAGAAAGTTAGCATGGGCTTTATAAACTGTGCTCTTGAGTTTTATGCTGGAATCTACTGTAGGATTTTTTTAAGGGTTGAAGTGACATGATCTAATTTACATTTTAGGAATATTACTTCTGGGTATAAGATGGGTGGATAGATACAGCAAGGGTAGTGACAGGGAAATGTTTTAACTAACTTTAACATTAGCTTAATCAGTAGTGGTTCATATATTATTATTGGAGTAGAGCTAGTTAAGAACTGCCTTCCATAAATTCTACGCATAGTGGAAATTCAAATTTGGAATGGGGCAAGGAATTATAATTAGAATGATTTCTAATGAATCCATACAGTGAAGCTGCATGTCTTTTGTGTTGATATAAAGTCAAAATTCATGATTGATCTTTTGCATATTTTGAATTGATATTGTTTTTATGGGGCATTGTACAAATAAGCTAGAAGGAAGAAGACAGGATAATTGGAAAGGCCATGGAACAATTAAATACTTCTCCACCTAAGAGTGATGGTTTGGGAGGACTGAGATAAAGTGCTAGATGCGTTAGGATGTCACCATCTTCATTCACACAGTAGGCACTTTTTTAATATCTCCTTTGTGTAAATTATTGTGCTAGATGCTGTGCAAAGGAAGAAATGAGTAAAACCTAGTTCTTCCCCTTAATAAATTTAGTGTGCAGCAATACATTGATTTATTAAAGAAACATTTACTCAGCACCAGGCATTATTCAAAACACTGATAAGATGAACTCTCTGCTAACAATAATGATTGATAGCTATAAGTGCCATTAGGGAGCCAGAGGGGAGGTAGAGAGAGAGAGAATATGAATTTGTCAGACTCTCAACTGTGGGTATTAAGAAAGGTAGCATTTGCTTGAAGTCCTTCACAAATACAAAGCATTTGCCTTTAGACAGTGGGTTATGGAAACAACATGAGCAAAGACGCAAAGGGGGAAAGTTTTTGCAAGCATTCAGGAGACACTAAGTGGTGGTTTGTGTACAAAACAGACAGAAGAGGAGGAAGAAAAATATCATTTGTTAACATACTTGGAAAGGTTTAACAGTTGGGTCTTTACTCAACTGGTAATAAGGAATTGTTGAAGAAATTTTTGAACAAGCAAGATGGTTGTTTCTGAAAGATTAATCTGACAGCTCTGTGTAAAAACGGATTAGAGGAGAGAAGGTCAATTGGCCGCCTGTTCAAATAGGCCAGGGAAAAGGTAATGGGGGTTTGAGAAAGCAGGCTAGTACCATGGAATAGAAGAGGAGGAGGTAGATGTAGTATACTCTTATTACAGTTTCCAAGTGCTGTAGAATCTAACTACTGAAGGACAGATAGCAACAATAACAGAGCACTACACAGTAGACTGTTTTAATAAGCATGTAAAGGTCTTGAAAAGCCCTCAAGAGTTGTACATAAAAGACAACATACTGCTCAGGAAGCACTCATCTAAACATCACAAAAATGAGCTCGCTGTTAACAACCACCTCATAGAAACATTCTGAGGGCTGCCAAAGGAAGGTGCTATGAAAATAGCTAAATTTTGCCTTTTAAATTTGAACCTGCCCCTTGGAAGTTCACAAATTTTAGAAGTCTGCAGAATGGGATGGCTGCTATCCCACATTATAAGAGAAAAATGCTTAAAATAATAAAAATCCTTTAGAAAATGAGCCAGAAAAAGAGTAGAAAGAATCATTTTTCTTTGTTGGAGTTGAGGCACCTTTGGGAGTCTGCACTGTACACAGCGCACCCATCCCATAGCCCCATTGCGTACTTAGTGTGATTTACATAGAGCTTTCCCATCATGCTTCTTTTGATCCTCTCCACAGTCTCAGGTGAACAAGTAAGGTAACCTTTTGCAGCCCCGTTTTTCTGATGGTTCAGAAGATCAAATACAGTGAATGGGTGTGCAAGTACATTGCAGACTGCAAAGGACTCCAGAAAGTTTGCTTATGAAATGTTTCTTTTCCTCTTTCTTTTTCTCCCTAGTACTAAGGATTACACCCAGAGTCTTCACACTGAGTTACATCCCCATTGACAGGGTATTGCTAAGTTGCCTAAGTGAGACTTGAACTTGCAGACCTCCTGCTTTGGCCTCCCAAATTATGGGATTGTAGGCCTGTACCGTCATACCCAACCAGTCTTAGTTTTCGTGTTTCTTGGCATTGCTCTTTATAACAGCTATATGAGATATATATTAATTCTCATACAGTGACCTTCATATCATTCAAACATACAGTTATATGATATTGCACACAGCTATGAAACCATCAACAACAATCAAAATGAAGACTATGTGTGCCACTCCCTAGGGTTCCTCCCTGCCTCTTTTGTAACCCTTTCTCCCTTTGTTTCTCCACTTCCTTCTCAGGCAACCACTTATCTCTCCTTTGTCAGATAAATGTGTATTCTCTAGAACTTCTTGTGCATGCAATCATACATTGTGTATGCTCTTCCTTCCTCTATATAGATCCAGATTTCCACTTGGTATCATTATCCCTACACCTGAGTTTTCTGTAGTGTAAATCTCCTCCTGCTGAACTCTTTCAGCATTTGTATGTTTCAGAAAGCTTTATTTCACCTTTCTTTTTGAAATATATTTTTTTCTGGATATAGATTTCTAGGTTCACAGGTTTTCTATCTCCCCTCTCTCAGGTCTTGTTCCACTAGCTTTTTCTTTGCATTGTTTCTAACAACACATATGATGTTGTCCTTATCTTTGTCTCTCTGTACATAATACTATATGTCTTTCATCTACAGCTGCTTTTAAGATATTCTCTTTATTGGTGCTGCTGAGCAATTCAGTTATGATGTACCTTGGTGTAATTTCTTTCATGTTTCTTGTGCTTGAAGTGCATTGAACTTCTTGGATCTGTGAGATTTCATCAAATTTGGAAATTTTTCTCCCTTTATTTCTTCAAACTTTTTTTTCTGTTTCATCCCCACTCCCTTCTTTTCAGGGCTCCAGTAGGAATATATTATGCCTCTTAAAGTTTTCTCACAGGCTACTGCCTCATTTTTTTAACCTTTACTTCTGTCTCTGTTTTATTTTGGTTAGTATGCAATGCTGTGTTTTCACATGTATTTTTTTCATTTGTAATGTCTAAGCTACTAATCTTAGCTACTAATTTTGCCCCTCACTTAAAACATTAGACATAATCATGTTGGACCCTCTGCAGATCCCTTTTCTCTGTGAATATTTTTCTGTTAGAAACTCTACTTGCCATACTCTCTCCTACTTACCGTGGGACGAGTACCACACTGCCCGAGTTTCTCTCCCTGTCCTGAGGCCTGGAAACTCTAGGCATTAAGCTGTGTCAATCATGAAGATCACTTCATTTGGTTCTTGTCTGTTAGTGATCACTGGCTTCATTATCTGATGTCCACTACCTTAAACTACTGTTTCATATATTTTGTTCATATTTTTGGTTCTTTAACGAACGGTAATATGTCTAACCTTTGTTATTCTATCTTAGCCAGGAGCAAAAATCTATGTTGTGTATTATTCTTTAGAACAGAGGAACACACAAGAGATTTAGAGTCTAACATCCTGGATTAGAACTCTAGTTCTGCGATTTGCTAGTTGTTTGACCCAGAGGAAGCCGCTTGAGCTCTCTATCCTCTGATGCTCAGTTTTGTCTCTTTAGTAAAATGTTTGCCCTGCAAGCTTGTGCTGAGAATGAAATGAGATAAATATGTACGTAAGTATGTAGCTCAGCTACTGAATCTTAAAAAGTTCCTAAACATTTTTTGTTCAGTTTTTGTTAAGACTTAGAAAGTGTAGCTGCCATAAAAGGTGGAGGTAGGGAATTGAATCCTTGTTTTCTGAATCCCACTCTCATATCACTATTACAGTTACACAAACTATAAGTATCCCAAATTAGGTGTTGTCTGGGTTGTATACCACTCCCCATCATATCTAATCTTTCTCCCAAAAAAGAAATTGTCCAGAGTTGTGAAGTGCATCTCAGAAACAATTTTAGGAACTTAAATGCCAAGTTAATACTTTAAGTTTTACCAAAATTCTTTGCGATGGTATGACTGACCCTCTTGAAATTATTCAAAAGCACCATAGCTGGAGGCCATCATTTCTATTCTTCCTAGCCCTTGATGCTCACATAAGGCTCATTATTGATACCAGGACCCACAAACTCCTAACATCAAGACCAACCTAACCAGTAGAATAGTAGTCTGTCCTGAGCAAGAAGATTATTGTCGTCGTCTGTTGGTGATTCAGCTTGATAGAATGGGGAGAGAATTTGGGGCAATGTGGTCACTATTTCAAGTCCTGCATCTGAAACACTGAACTTAGAAAAGTACCTTGCTGACTTACTAGACTGCTGTTCTCCTGCCACCAAACTTAGGTTACCGAATTCGCCTGGGCTCTAGTACTGACAAGAAGGACACAGGCAGGCTCCACGTTGACTTTGCACAGGCACGAGATGACCTGTATGAATGGGAATGCAAGCAGCGGATGCTAGCAAGAGAGGAGCGCCACCGGAGACGGATGGAAGAAGAAAGACTGCGTCCACCATCCCCACCGCCAGTGGTCCACTATTCAGATCATGAATGCAGCATTGTTGCTGAAAAACTTAAAGGTATAAAAGGCATTTGAGCTTCCTGATTAAAAGAGTTAATTAATTTTTTAGGGAAATGTGACAAATGGTGTAGTTGGTAATAATCCTTACAGTTTCCCACGTATGGATTTGAAACATTTGTGCTGGAGCCTTGCTCACTGAGAGAAGAATATACCTCATAGGAACCAGGAGATTTGTTCATGTCAACGGTGTCTCAAGGGATAGCATCTTTCTCTGACATCAGTTAACTAAGAAGAAATGAGGTTTTTCCACTTTCTACATCAGAGAAATAGGTGTGATTCACATGACTTGGAACTGGTATGAGATGTGATCAAAAACTATGGTGAATGTTAAAAATTTTTTAAATTTATTACAATAAAAGATTTTCACTATTCGTGTCCCTCAGAGTACTCCCCCTTCACCACACACACACACACACACACACTCATCTCATCATTCTTGCCACTTCCTGAAGCAGTTCTTGAAGTCCTTCTTCAGAAGTGTCTTTAGTTGCACTGTCATGGCTGCCTCAATATCCTGAATTGATTCAGAACATTTACCTTTCATAGTCACTGTGACTTTGAAGAAAGAGCCAGAAGTCACATAATGTCAGATCTGGTAGATTATGTGAATGAGAACATACCGTAATGTTTTTACCATCCTGTTTTTCCATTGGTTGTCACTTGGCAGCACCATTCACAGTATTTTTTTATCACACCTCATGAGCACACCTAAGAAAGAGGACTTCCAGAACTACTTCAGAAAGTGGCAAGAATTATGGAAAAGTGTGTTAGAAGCAAGGGGAAGTATTCTGAGGAGGATTTATGGCAATGTGTTTTTCACTGTAATCATTTTTATTTAAATATGCACTGTATATTTTGATCACCCCTTGTGCATGTCCCTTCTTCATAGTGAATACAAATTAGGTTTGAATTCTAAATCAAATGAGTTATTCAGAACGATACACCTAGATGTAACCCTAGTAAAATCCCAGTTTTAATGATGAGAAAATGGAGGCCCAGAAAGCAGTCACAGTATACATTCTTCTTAAATTACTCAAAATCTTAGCCACCACCAATTAAAAGAAAACTTTTTTTTTCTTTTGCAGTACTGGAGATTGAACCCAGGGCCTTGTGCATGGTAGGCAAGTAGTGCTGTACCCCTTGGAGATAGTTATGTCTCTGGCCCTTTTTATTTTTTGAGAAAGGGTCTCACTAAATTGCTAAGTTACCCAGGTTGGGCTCAAACTTGGGATCTTCCTGCTTCAGCCTCCTCAGTAGCTGATTTTACAGGTGTGTATCACTACACCCAGCTAGAGGACATTTTTTAATCGATTTTAAAAGGCCAATTTATTTCACACAGCAACTATGGAAACTTCTAGACATTGCTATGTCAGACTGCTATTTCTGATGTTTTGATTCCTGTTTGCTCTTGCTTAATTCTCAGACTCATTTTGCTAATTTAACATTAATCACCCTGTCTGGTGTCTTCTCTTATAAGCTCAAACCCAGTCTCTCATTTTCTGAGAATCATTGAATGACTGCTAGTGTTCCATTGATCTTATTGATGGCACTAACTCAGCTCTAATGGTATGAATTTGCCTTGCTTCTTGTGCTCTCAGCTGAGCAAGATCTTGCTAATTCTACTTTCTAAATAGGTCTCACTCACCAAATTTGTTTACATCACATAACCTAAGGGAGTCACACGTTTAAGAATTCAAAGTATTCTCTTTGGACTGATCATTAACTTCTTACAAGGGAGAAAGTGGAAAACAAAGTTCAAACTAGATGCGCAAATATTATGATATACAGTATTTGAAAAGCGAAAAACAATGAGTAAGGCGCCAGCCCCAAGACTTGCCTATTCACTTGACACCAAGCAAATCAATTTAAGTAAAAAACTAAACCAAACCAAAACAAAAATTTTGTTTATTGTGTAGCCCTCAAGAGGAGGAAAACCTGAGCATCAACTTAAGGATTTTGTGCAAGTAATTAAATGAAAGTCTTCTCTAAAGAGAAGGCTTGCCTCCTGTTATAAATCTGAACTGAAATAAAAGGCTACAAGGCAAGAAGTTCAGATTGCAGCAAGAGATATCGCCGCTTCAAATGAGGCTTTCTGGCCAGAGTGGCGTGTGAAGCCCTAGGATGGGGCTTCAATTGGATGCTGCCTCTCAGGAGTCTGTTAACAGCAGGAATGTATACATGACTAGCTTAGAAATCTGGACCAGAAGCTTTGGAAGAGCTGTGCTAAACAGCAGAGAATAACTCCTGGCTGGCTAGTTGGAGGGTTTGTCAGGCAATTGGAAAAAGATGTGAGAAATATAAAAATAAAATGAACTACTCCACCAAAATACATTATGACTGTCCCCAAGTGAAAGGCCTGTGGCTGTGGACTGGATGTAAGAATGATGTTCTAAAAGGTAGAAGATGTAAGTGTTTATATCTAAAGAGTTACCCACTCAACTCTTTCCTAAGGCTCCTTCCAACATGTAATGCTATGGATCTGGGGAAATTTACTGTTGAAGTCACGTTAGACTCAGAACTTGAGTTTGTTTTTTCCTTACTTAAGTATGGAATTGCAGAATTCTGACACTCTCTCACTGCTAGTTCATGACTTACTCTCTCTCTCTTCCTCTCTCTCTCTCTCTCTCTCTCTCACACACACACACACACACACAGACACATACATATGTATGCACATAGGTTACATAATTTGCAATATGGTAAAAATATAATATCAATGCAGAAAGTATATCAGTTTTTGTAGTGCTAGAAATTGAACCCAGGACCTCTCGCTTGCTAAACATTCATTCTATTACTGAGCCATATCCCAAGCTCAGAAAAAATAAATTTAAGAAAAAAAAAAACAGTACTCTTTCTGCAATGCTTTAATGACACTCTCCTTGCTAGTGCATCTCTCTCTCTCTCTCTCTCTCTCTCTCTCTCTCTCTCTCTCTCACACACACACACACACACACAGACACATACATATGTATGCACATAGGTTACATAATTTGCAATATGGTAAAAATATAATATCAATGCAGAAAGTATATCAGTTTTTGTAGTGCTAGAAATTGAACCCAGGACCTCATGCTTGCTAAACATTCATTCTATTACTGAGCCATATCCCAAGCTCAGAAAAAATAAATTTAAGAAAAAAAAAAACAGTACTCTTTCTGCAATGCTTTATAAATCACAACTAATCTACTTTTTGAGCCTTTCATTCTTTCTGTTTTTCTGCCTGCCTGCTGCCTGTCCATGTGTGCTTGATTGGAAAAATGCAGGTGTGGTTACTTTTGATGGTTCTAACAAGAAACCCTCTTGTTTTCAGATGATTCCAAATTCTCAGAAGCAGTACAGACCTTGCTCACCTGGATAGAGCGAGGAGAGGTGAATCGTCGCAGTGCCAACAACTTCTACTCCATGATCCAGTCAGCCAACAGCCATATCCGCCGTCTGGTGAATGAGAAAGCTGCTCATGAAAAAGACATGGAGGAAGCAAAGGAGAAGTTCAAGCAAGCCCTGTCTGGAATTCTCCTCCAATGTGAGTGGAAGTTAGAGTTCTGCTGGCAGGGTTTCAGGGTCCTTCACACTGTCACCACTTACTCTGTACAGGAGCCCAGGCCTCCAGAGCCACCTGATGTCAAGGACAAGGCTGCCTTCCTTACTGCCCTGTCTTCTCCTTCAAGTGCCAAATGCTAGTCCTCCAGTTTCACAGACTATGTGTGAACACCTCCTGTTTTCATTTCCCCTGCTATACTTAGGCCAGCCACATCCTATACCTTCACAGCCATGGGTTTCAGTGGAGGGTTGGGTAGTTCATGGCTGAAGTGAAGATCCAACATCAGCATTTTAAAGCTGCTTTTTTTTGCATTGTTATCATCATGTAATATGCATTCTAGGATCTTTTAGTGATAATTGTGATTATATTTCCCAAGATAATGGAATAAAAATCAAATTTGCTACTTTTACCTTTTGTATTTACTTTCCTTCCTTCCACTACCTTTGCTGGATATGACAAACTATGACAGGGTGAGAAGCCATTGAAATGGCCATTTTCAAAAAGAAATACCACTTTAAACTTATCAAAGTTCTCTTAAGTGAGATGTATCAGATAAATTCTTAAGTAAATTTTTTGTTCACCGTATTACATAGTTATGCATATCTTTTCAGTAAGGAACTATATTCACTTCAAGAATAAGGATGCAGTTTTATGATTTTCCTTTTAAACAATTATGTTCCATTCTTCTTATACTTTACTTTCCATACTTGACTCCTACATAATTGGTATTAAGGAGGAATTGTTGCATTTTCCCTTTGGTTTCTGGAAGTATATATGGGCATAAAATCCAGGAGGTAAAAGCACATGTCCTCAGCACTTCAGAATATGTAGAAAAACAGAGCAGCAAGCATCTTAGAATATAATTCCTAGAATCATTAGAAAACAGAATACAAACAGGACTGTAAAGAAAAAACTAAAACCTTCTGGATTTTCTACCGTGAACATCCAACCAAGAAGAGGCTCTTCCTGATTTTCTCTAGAGTCATACCTAAGCTTCTCCTCTCTGGAGCAGGTTAGGATAAAGCCCTAGAATCTGTATACATTTCCCTACTAGCATTTTGAAATACCCTGAAAAATGCTCCCTGAGATGGTACTTTACGTATTTTCCCATAAAACCTATAATTCTCCAGTCAACAAGACTAGTTAGACCTACACCCTACCCATATTATGTTTTGGTTTGATTGTACTATTTAAACATACCTAAGAATAGCAAGAGGACAAATTCTACTAAAGCGAAGAATCTCAGCTTATTTCACAGGGCTGGTTAATGAAAAGAACTAGTGCTAGGAGTGAGTTCCTGATACACTTTGCTTCCATGCTATGCATGGTCCATAGTAGAAAAGTAAACACATTTACTACAACTTGTACTTCTCCTGCCTGAATGAATATGTACTGCCTGGATTAAAACTTGACTCACTATTTCACCCCAAACCTTCCTTGGTTCTCTTCTTTCTATATATTGATGTTTCTTCCTGAGTCCCCCTTAAAATCATAGTACTACAACACACAATTGTTTCTGACTACAACCCCTATCAGGGATAGTGTTATAACAAAAAAGAACCAGAAGCTCATGCTTCTCTCTTATTTCTCTTCTCCCGGTTTTTGCAATCCCTGGATGATACTCTGGCCTGATCTGACTGCTGATTTGATGCTACAGTTGAGCAGATAGTGGCTGTGTACCATTCTGCCTCCAAACAGAAGGCTTGGGACCACTTCACAAAAGCCCAGCGTAAAAATATCAGCGTTTGGTGCAAACAAGCTGAGGTTGGTAACTTTTTACTCTGGTAGATCCTCAGGGGCACAATGTCTTTCTTTAACAAGTTATTGATTTGGAGTTTAGCCAGAATTAAATAGCACCAAGATCCCACAGTCACAACAAGGCCCTAATGAAACACTAAGATGTGTTCTATAGCCTGTCAGCGTGTTCAGACCACCTGCTGTCCAAAGGGCAGTAAATGTGCACATGTTGTCTTGAATGGATTCCGCTGGATGGAAGCCTTAATAGAGAAAATGTAGCTGAGATAATTGTAAGTTTATTTCTCTAAGCTAGCTAGTCTGGAGTACAATAATAATTACTGACTTGTGCTTCTAGTGTTAGTAATATTAGGGCTATCTTACATTTATCCTGACAGTTGAGGGTAGAAGCTGCCTAGTGGTATATCAGACCAAGAAATTTCTCAGCTGCTTTTATCAAACCCATTTAGCCATCCTTTTTGTTGTTGTTGTTCACTGAGTTCATTGGTACTTTTTAAGGATTCAAAGAGTTGTATTCATCACTGGGATCTTATACCCTCACATGACAGATCTTGGTTCTCATTTTTTCGCCATACCCCTGCGCTCCACCCCTCCCTCCTCCCCCTCCCCTATTTACAATGACTTTGTTTCCATTTTTTTCATTTTCTCATGTTTTCTTTTCCCTTCTTTCCTTTCCCCTACCCTTCCCACTTGACCTACAACTTCAGCCCTTTTCTTCCTATTTCACATTATCAGTTATACAATTTGGATCTTATTTACACTTTTAGTTTTTCACACCAGAGAAACTATTCAGTATTTACACATCTGCTCTTATCTATTTCATTTAAGAGTATGGCCTCAATATCCATCCAGCTTCCTATGAATGACTCTAGTTTCTCATTCTTTATGGCTGAATAGTACACCATTTTACAGAAAAACCGCATCTTCTTTATCCAGTCTCCGACTGATGGGCAAATGGGCTGTTTCGAGGTTTTAGCTATGACAAACTGTGCCACTATAAACATGGGTGCGCATATATCACTATGATGTGATTCTTTTAATTCTTTTGGAAATGTACCCAGCAGAGGGATGGCTCGGTCAAATGGAACCTCTGATCCTACTTCTTTGAGGTATCTCCATATTGATTTCCACAGTAGTTGCATCAATCTGCACTCCCACCAACAGTGGAAAAGGGTTCCTTTCCCCCCATGATCCTACCAACATTTGTTATTGATTGATTTCTTGATAGCAGCCATTTTTTCTGGAGTGAGGTAGAATCTCAGTGTTGTTTTCATCTGCATCTCTTGAATGACCAGTGATATGGAACATTTTTTCATATATTTACTTAATGCTTTTATTTCTTTGTCTGAGAAATGTCTGTTCGATTCAAATGCCCATTTTTGAATTGGGGCTTTATATTTGGGCGACCTATTTTTTTTTATTTCTTTATATATTCTAGATAATAGTTCTTTGCCTGAGAAGTAGCTGGTAAAAATTTTTTCCAACATTGTACATTGTCTCTTAGCTCTCTTGTTGGTTTATCTTGCAGTGCAAAAGCTTTTTAATAAGATGAGATCCCAGTTGTTGATTCTTTATGCTAGTTACCATGCTACTGAGGACTGTTCATAAAGTCTTTTCCTATGCCACTGTCTTCGAGTTCTACCTACCTTATCTTCCAGCAAGTTTAGTGTTTCTGTTCTAATGTTTGGATCTTCAATCTACTTGGATTTTTAGTTTAGTGCATGGTGAAAGATGAGGGTCTAGTTTTAATCTTTGGCAGGTTGAAATCCAGTTTTTCCAACACTATTTATTAAAAAGTCTGTCTTTCCTCTTGTGAGGATGGTTGGATCCTTTGTCAAAGATGAGGTGGCTCAGTACATCTGTAGTTGTTTCTGTATCTTCCAATCTATTCCACTAATCCTCAGGTCTTTTTCTTTGCCAGTACAATGCTGTTTTTATCACAGTGGCTTTGTAGTATAGTTTCAAGTTGGAGATAGGGATACCCCCTGGCATGTCTGTTGCCTAGAATTGTTCTTTTTATTTTAGGTCTCTTCTGGTTCCAAATGAACTTTTGGATTATTTTCTCTAGTTCTGTGAAATATACTGTTGGTATATCAATTGGCATTATATTGAATCTGTATAGCAGTTTGCTAGTATGTTGATTCTTCCTACCCAGGAGCAGAGGATATCCTTCCATTTTCTTATATCCTCCTCGATCTCTTTTTTCAGAGTGCTGAACTTTTCAGTGTAGAGGTATTTTGCTTCCTTTGTTAGTTTGATTCCTAGATACTTCATTTTTCTGGATGCTATTGTGAAAGGAATTGTTTCCCTCATTTCTCTCTCAGTGATTCTGTTATTTGTGTACAAGAAGGCTATTGATTTTTGGGTGTTGACCTTGTATCCACCTACTCAGCTGAAAGTGTCAACTAAGTCTAGAAATCTTTTGGCAGAGTTTTTTTGACTCTTTTATGTAGAGTATCCTATCATCAGTGAGTAATAACAGTTTCACTTCTTCCTTCCCTATCTTTATTGCTTTAATTTTTTTCTCATGTCCAATTCCTGTGGCTAATGTTTCCAGAACTATATTAACAAGAGTGATGATAGTGGACATCCTTGTCTTGTTCCTGATTTTAGCAGGAAGGTTTTCAGTTTGGGGGCATTTAATATGATGTTGGATGGTTTTTCATAGATAGCCTTTATCAAGTTGAGATGAAGACCATCTCTCCAATTTTTTACAGAGTTTTTATCATGAATGAGTGTTGATTTTGTCAAAATCTTTTTCTGCCTCTACTGACATGATATGGTTTTTGTCCTTGCCACTCTTAATAGTGTATTACATTTACCAATTAACATATGTTGAAACATCCTTGCATGCCTGGAATAAATTTGACTTGGTCAATGTGTGTGATCTTCTTGATGACCCTATGTATTCTCTTTGCCAGTATCTTCTTTTTTAATTTAAATTTAATTTATTGGTACATTCTAGGTAGACAGTACAGTTACATTCATTACTGGGATCTTGTACCCTTACATGCTAGGTCTCGGTTCTCATTTTTTCCCCTTTTCCCCACGCTCCCTCCACCCCCTCCTGCCCTCCGACCTTCAAACACTTTAATTCCATTTTTACATTTTCTCATATTTTTTTTCATTTTCCCTTATTCCCCTTTCCCTATCCTTCTGATTGTCCCTAAACTTTTGGTCCTTTTCTTCCTATTTGCTAATTGACCCGTTAGGATCTTGAGTACTCTTAGTTTTTCACACTAGAGAAACTATTCGGTATTTGCATATGTGTGACTTATTTATTTCACTTAGGAGTATATCCTCAAAATGTACCCATTTACCTATCAATGAATGAATCTAATTTCTCATTCTTTATGGCTTATTAGTATTCCATTTTATAGAAAAACCACATCTTCTTTATCCAGTTTCCAACTGATGGGCAGATGGGCTGTTTCCAAGTTTTAGCTATGACACACTGTGCCGCTATAAACATGTGTGTGCATATATCACTGAGGTATGATTCTTTTAATTCTTTTGGAAAGATGCCCAACAGAGGGATGCCTGGGTCAAATGGTACCTCTAATCCTAGTTCTTTGAGGTATCTCCATATTGATTTCCATAGTGGTTGCACCAGACTGCACTCCCATCAACAATGGAGAAGGGTTCCTTTCTCCCCACAACCTAGCCAACATTTGTTATTGTGTGATTTCTTGATAGTGGCCATTCTTTGTGGGGTGTGGTGAAATCTCAGTGTTGTTTTCATCTGTATCTCTCAAATGACCAGTGATGTGGAGCATGTTTTCATATATTTACTTGCTGCTTTTATTTCTTTGTCTGAGAAGTGCCTGTTCATTTCAGATGCCCATTTTAGAATTGGGTCTTTATATTTGGGGGGGCTGGTTGTTTTGAGTTCTTTATATATTCTAGATAATAGTCCTTTGTCTGAGGAGCAGCTGGTGAAAAGTTTTTCCCACATTGTAGGTTGTCTCTTAGTTCTATTCATGGCTTCCTTTGCAGTGCAGAAGCTTTTTAATAAGATAAGATCCCAGTTGTTGATTCTTTCTGCTAGTTCCCATGTTACTGAGGATTTGTTCATAAAGTCTTTTCCTATGCTAATGTCTTCCAGAGTTCTGCTTAACTTATCTTCCCAAAAGTTTAATGTTTTTGTTTTTATATTTAGATCTTTAATCCACTTGGATTTTAATTTAGTGCATGGTGACAGATAAGGGTCTAGTTTTAATCTTTTGCAGGTTGAGATCCAGTTTTTCCAACACCATTTATTAGAGAGGCTATCTTTCCTCCAGTGGAGACTGCCAGCTCCTTTGTCAAAGATGAGGTAGCTGAGTGCATCTAGAGTTGTTTTGTGTTTTCCAATCAGTTCCACTGATCCTCAGGTCTGCTTCTTTGCCAGTACTGTGCTGTTTTTATCACAGTGGTTTTGTAGTATAGTTTCAGATTGGGAATTGTTATACCCACTGCCATGTGTCTATTGCCTAGGATGGCTTTTGCTATTCTAGGTCTCTTATGGTTCCAAATGAATTTTTGGATTCTTCTTTCTAGTTCTGTGAAGTATAGTGTTGGGATTTCAATTGGTATTGCATAGAATCTGTATAGCAGTTTTGGTAGTATGGCCATTTTCACTATGTTGATTCTTCCTACCCAGGAGCAAGGGACATCTTTCCGTTTTCTTATATCCTCCTCAATATCTTTTTTCAGAGTGTTATACTTTTCAGTGTAGAGGTCTTTTGCTTCTTTTGTTAGATTAATTCCAAGATACTTCATTTTTGTGGGTGCTATTGTGAAAGGAATTGTTTCCCTAGCTTCTTTCTCAGTGAGTCTGTTATTTGTGTACAAGAAGGCTATTGAGTTTGGGGTGTTGACCTTGTATCCAGCTACTCTGCTAAAAGTGTCAATTAAGTTGAGAAGTCTTTTGGTGGAGTTTTTTGGGTCATCAATGTAGAGTATCATATCATCAGCAAATAATGGCAATTTAACTTCTTCCTTTCCTATCTTTATTGCTTTAATTTCTT